CTACTCCCATGATGTATCTTCATAAATTATGTAAATAAAATGTTTAAATAAGTGAAAATGATCCGAGCGAGAATAATGACATCACAAAAAAAATCATATATATAAATATGGTCAACTCAAATAACTTAACCCCCCCTCAAAAAATCAAATATCGCCAAAGATGCAAAGAAACCATTTATGAATGGTTCTTGGATCTAAAAACTTAAGCGCCGTATACAAGTACGTCGACTAGGTGAAAGAATTTTTGCAAAGATAGTTAAACAATAGTAAACTTGACATAGGACAATGTTGCTGTGTTGGATTTGCTATAGGTAAAAGTGAATTCAATAGTTATCAAATTAAAATTACTAAGCAAATATCATGAACACATTGTTATGTTGAATATACTAAAGTAAAAATAAATTCAATAGTTATCAAATTAAAAATTAACTAAGCAAATATCATGAACACATTGTTATGTTGAATTTACTAAAGTAAAAGTGAATTCAATTGTCATCAAATTAAACAAAGCGAAACTGATTCTTAAAGAACAAAAATGAAACATACATGCACTCGCATTAAGCTTATGTAAGGATGATATCAACCTTTTTGGTAGTCATTTTTTTCATAAATAATTTAAATCATGGGAGTAATTTAATAATTATTTTAATATAGTTTTCATTTTAGAATATCTATATAATTTCGTCCAAGCAAATAGAAGCACCATCAAAGAAATAAAAACTGAGAGTCAAGATAGATTCTTTTTATTTTTATTTTTATCTTTAGTGAAATTACAATGTTTGTAGCCAGCTCACATGTGCAAATTTAGTTATTGTACTGTTTAGGTTTTGTTTTTCAAACTAGTTTTAGCATATGTACACAAAAAACTAGTTTATGTATATTATAAAAATCATTGTTTACATGCCTGGTTTTACATAACAAAATCGCGAACTACCTTATCTTTAAAATATAATATTATAATAATAATACAATAAGCATTATGAGATTACCATTACGATATTAAATCATTATAAGAATATGGCCAATACTTCTACATTAGCTATGATTGTATTCGTCAATTTCCTGTCGTGGCACTGGTATTGGACCTGGTAATGATCTCACTGTTACTTCCGAATCAATTTGATTTTTATAATGTATCGATGACAATGGTACACCAACTGCAGATACCATCAAACTCGGTACCTCCGCAACACCGCAACACCTGCGAATGCCTGCTGGTTTTTAGCAACTGGTCCAAAGTGATCTAAAACAACCACCACCCCAAAGTGCTTTAAAAAACTTTAGCTGTTTTTGCCAGCTGGTTACTGCCGATTAATCATCACGAATAGTAAGTGGTCTCCTTATTCACTTATACGAGAACAACTTTTCAATAGGAATTAATCGGATGGTTACACCAACAGGCAGTGATAAACTACCCAATCCAATGCAAGTTAACCATTGAATAACACTGTTTGAAATGCATACCCTCCAAATTGGATTGTCCTACACTAGTTATAATGAATATGTGAAAATCCCGTTCGCTAAGAAATTTTTAAATGCGTTTAACTTTTGATCAAGGTTTCGGCAACTATTACAAAATGAGTAGGTGTTAAATAAAATTTAAAGAATTGTTGAAGTCATTTTTGAAAAAAAACATACTTAATTTCATTAAAAATTTGTAACGATACAAATGTATTAAAAACAATTGTATCTGACTTAACTGTGTCAACTCCATAACATCCCAAATCATCAGCAAATAATAAAGCTAATGTGTTACAAGTTGAAAGATACATTGACCAATAATCATCTTCCACATATGAGGAGTTATTAGAGGTTCATCTCGGTTCTCAGGTCTACGCCTCAATAATTCGGGGTTGAACCTGTAGCAAGAGCGAGAGCAGCGAATGTATCCATGATAAGATTCACCCATAGCTCACTCGACACTGCAGATATTAATGTAAGTAGGACAACAGCAACATCAGCTGTGAGTTGGAACTGCAAAAACCTTTTAACTGCATCATTTACACAACGACCCCACATTATCGTTTTTACTATACTAGAAAATTATCATTCATTAATATGATAGATGATGCCTCTTTGGCAACCTCTGTACTAGAAATACCCATAGAAAACCCGACATCAGCAGTCCTTAATGCAGGACCATCATTAGTACCATCACCAGTTTCAGCGACAATATCATTGAATTCGTCCTTTAATCTTCCAACCAATATTTTTTTGTCTTCAGGACTAGATTTTGCAAGAATTTGAAGTCGTGGAAGAATCATATTCATTCTTTCAGGTGATAAGTTACGAATTTCAGGACCTTCCATTACTATACCTTCTGTTGTATAAATACCGCATTGTTATGCAATAGATTTTGCTATCCAAACATCACCGGAAACCATACGAACTTTGACTCCAGCATCTTTACAATCAGCAACAGCTTGTTGAATTCCTTCTCTTAAAGAGTCCTCGATATCAACAATACACAATAATGTAATATCTTCCATTAAATCTTTAAATTTTACCTCACCATCGGATCTAAATCTATTTCATCAGGGGCCATTGTTCTAAGTCACGATATGCAATTGCAAGAGTTCTTGAACTTCGACTACCGTAAGATTTTATAATTTGTTGAATAGTATATCTTTCATGATCAGTCAATTTCGTTGCGTTACCTGACTTAGTATCAATTATACATTGTGATTTTTGAAGTAATATTTCACTAGCGCCCTTAATATAAAATCTAAAATAAGAATCTTCTTTTTTGTTCCGAACTAAACGGATAAAATTGTATAATTTTGGCATCCTCTTTTAAGTGTTTGTAATTTATGCCTAAATCCAAGAGAAGTTGTAACAAAGCAGTCTCTATTTTCGATCCTATAAAATTGTGTTTTCCATTTTTTGGCTCGCCCTCAAAAGCAGTGAGTGGTATTTACTGTAATAGATTTATATAAAATGTTCTGGTAATGTTTTTATATCTTGTATGGATAATATATTTTTCAATCCTTTCATATTTTTATTTTTGAGATTCTTCATATATAAAATCGGAATTTTTTAACTGACAATCCAATAATTACAGTCGCGACGTTCATTTTTGTTTTGTGTTAATGTCCCAGTCTTATCCGAACATACGGCAGTAATATTACCCATTATTTCGCAGGATGACAGAATGCGCACAAGGTTATTATCCTTTAACATATGTGATGTTGCATATACAAGAGCTATAAATAATTTACAAATGTCAGATGTTTAGCAAGTATTAAAGAGTTAATTTATAAAAATTATAGACAAACCATATTTTACAGCATAAGGTAAGCCTCCTGGTACAGCAACTACCAAAATAGTGACCACTGAAATAATTATTTTTACCAAATTATTTATTGCTTCTGATGCTGATGGTACACTATTAATACGGAAAGAAATAAAATATTTAATCAAAAGGACAATAAGCATTAACAAAGCAGCAGCTTCTCCTAATTTTGCGATTTGTTCAGCAAAGTCATTCAACTTAACTTGAAGTGGTGTATCTTCACTTTTAATAGTTAAAGCTTTGTTAAGCAAAAAAATAAATAGAAATAAAAGATAAGCATCAAAGAAATTTATGTCAAACATATTATAAGCAATTCGTACATGTCCGAATTTTTCCTCTGCATGTAGCGATTTATTTTACTACTGAAATTTAGCAAAACTCATCATGGGGAGCGAATTTTTTACGAGTGGCTATGTAATAACAAAGTACTAAATCATAACCGAGGACTGTGACTCTAAAATTAGACTTAAGTTCCTTAAGTTCACATCAGGGACTCAAAAATTTTTTAAAAAAATTATTGAATTTTTTTAAAAAAAATTGAATTTTTTGCGGTTTTGGGACAATAATAAATTATCGATATTTTTAAATTTAATTATAAAAATTTATTACTGAAATTTAATTTAGATAACTTTTAATTCATTTAAATTATGCGGATATCGATATAGGCTTTTATAATATTATGAATAAAAATACTTTTATATTGCATAGGCACAAGCAAAAAAAATACTGGCTAGTGTATGCATATTATAACAATGATAAAATTTCGACAACGAAATTTATAATAATTTATAATAACTTTATTATTCCTTACGCGATGCCAAATGTTTATAGGTATCAACAAGTGTAACTGAATAATAAATCCTAAATACATTAAACCATGAAATCACAAACTAATATGAGAAGTCATGCTGAAAGTATGAAAGAATAAATTAACGTATGAGAATGTACGAGAAGTTTTTTAAATTTGAAATTTATCAAAAATAAAACGTACATTATATATTATACCTTTAACATCTTATACGTATCAATATTTATACTTTGTTATAATCTAACGATTTCATGGCATTGTACAGTATCCTCAGAAAGTTTATTTATGCGAATGAATAATATACGCAAATTATGAAATATCTGGAAGATAATGTTCAGCAACGAAGACCACAACCAAGAACATCTGGAGCATTGAAAACAGGAATGAAATATGCTTGATCATCAATTTTCGTGAACGAAATAGTATGCCAAATCATATTGCCGAAGTTAAGGTAAAATACTGACACATTTATACTGCTGATATATACGTATTCATATTGTAAACTTGCATATTTACAAATTTATGTTGTTTTTTGTGTAACCGTGATAAACTTTCTGAGGATACTGTACGTACAAGTTTATTAACACTATTTTGATATACTAAATAATTGCATAACAATAAGGTATCATCAAACTAAATAGAATGAATAAATGATACAAAATACTAGATTTAAAAAATAACGCAGTCAAAGTTTAATAATTATTCTTCGTAAATTATAATTCAAGTATTGTCTGAAGGACATTACAGACGAGGCAATGGTACGCATTATTCTTGATTTTTGATTAGTTGAATATGTTAAACACATAATGAGGATCTATGCAAAAATTCATTAACGTTAATTAAAAGTGTCAGGAAAAGAATACAGTTTTTGCATATAATAAGCAACAAATTATTTTGCTAACAGATACATAAAATGCTGCTCTTATAATTCATTCGTCTTGTTATTCGTTAGAAGACATAAAACGAATTCACATGGTTTTCTTTTGTTGTTTCATTCATTCTGATGTTCAATATAATAAAACCTCTATAAGGCACTCTCCATAAGTGCACATCCTCTCTTAATGCACACTCACTTTTTCTTATTGTTCTCTAAGTAACATTGTTAAAGTTTGGTAGTGCACATCCTCTCTTAATGCACACTCACTTTTTCTTATTGTTCTCTAAGTAACATTGTTAAAGTTTGGTTCCAAGAGCGTGCACTTATAGAGGTTTTACTTATAAAAAAATATCAGAGAATCAGAGTGGTTATCTCCGTTTACTCCTGTACTCGTACAGATCGGTTTTTGATGGCTATTGAGTTTAAAATCGGGTCAAACTGGTCAGTTAAAAAGTATTATAGATTTAATTTAAGTTACTAAAACTGAATGAACTCAATTTGAATTTAGAGATAACAATTTGGTCTGGTCTTTAATATTTCAAGTAACTTAGAACATATCCAGAGTGGTCATGAATGGACTGAGAGATAGTGATGGGAACTGTGTATTGCAATTCTTGAATGTGTGCCAGGTTGGTGACGCGTTAATCAGCCAAAGTAATTTTGCCAACTAAAAAATTCGAATGATACGATAATAAAATTATAAATTTGAATAGAACGAAAACACTATACATTTTCTAACGTTATCTATACTGAATCGTGTTCTTTTTTTATTTTCAAAAAGACATTTCATTTCTTCATAACCTTTAGTTTCTAATATTATTGTTTGAATTCAAGAAAATATTCGTATTTATAAATTATAATTTTTAAAATTTTTGAACTCGTCAAAATTCTTAGTAAGCGTATAAAAAAATATAGTATGGTAATAAATCTCAAATTAACACAAATATATTATGTACTATATAGTTATTCTTTAAATGAAAAAAATCTTATAATCTATAAATCTTACCTTAAAAAAAGAATAATAGTAGCGTTCCTTATTGTTAAAGAGATTTCACGTTTAAAACTAAACTCTCTTTATAATGAACCTTTTACAATGACTTCTGAAAGAACTAAAAATTTAAAAATTTATATTAGATTAGTAAAGAGAGGTCGACTGTATTATATAATCCTATTCTTCTTCAATTCACAAAAGTACAGGACGGTTGGCGAAGCACACAGTGGAAGTTTTCGAAATAAAAAGGATAGTTGTGGTTGATTAATGCGCTACCAATCTGGCATACGTTCGTAGAGATTGAATTTGTAATCAATACTACCATGCCCAAAAACAGGTTACGCAGCTTGCATGTGAATTTTATTTAGAAATTATTTGTTTGCAAAATTTGATTTATGTATACACGTACATATTATTGTTATATAATATGAAAAATCTCCAGTAGCTAATGTGCTTCAAATATTTAAATTGGTTGTTCAGATATTTCCAGAATCATTTGGACCTTGTTCTGCAAAAAGGGGAAATTGACAAATTTTTTAAAATTAATTGTTTTGATTTAAAATATGATTAGAATCATTTTTTATTTAAGACACAATTGTAGTTGTATTAATGAACTTTGCGATTTATTATAAATATAAAAATTTAGATGTTCGATCCGCCTAGCATCACATGATTTTGTATCACACTACCTGTTGTTTAACAACGGCCTAGTTTATAATATACAAATTGATTTCCGAAGATCTTTTTTTTGTCAATTTTCTCCTTTTTGCAGAACATTTATACAATAAAAAGATATATATTTTTGATTGACATTTATACAATAAAAGATGTATATCATTTATTTTTTTTTTAAAAAAAAGAAAAAAATTAAAAAAATATTAATTGTCGAGGTTTGCACAAATGGTGTATAATAAAAACTTTACTAGGTCATCAAGTCTAACAAAGGCCAAGTCTAACAAAGGCCAAGTCTAACAAAGGCCAAGCCATAATTTTAAAATACACCACACATATTTACGGAGATCAAATATAGCACAGAGGATCCCTATTATAAATTAATTATAATCAATTATATTAATGGGTCCCTTATATTACATCAATCTAATTTTTCTTGCATTTATTAATTATAAGTTTAATGAAAATTTCGTAAGTTTCTTTAAAATCGATCTCCTTTTTTTTTCCGTTTGAATCATGAAGAAATCTGAATGTGATTCCGGTTTTTTCTAACAAGGGAAACCATTCATTCATCGATATTCCATTTTTTTCAAAAGTCTTGATTAAATTGTATAAATGATCATACACCTATTAAAGAATGTGTTATTAATAATTTTTATAAATTGTGTATTTAAATACTTATAGCTATAAGCTGGGCTAAAATGAAATATAGTAATCGGTGGCATATAAATTATACCTGTTTATATCTATTTCTGTGAGATTCGGAAAGATCGTTAGATGTTGATTTCATAAGTTCGTCTTTTACCCATTTTTTTCTGAGTGCTTCGGTTGTGAAAATTTTGTTTTTTGATTCTTGAATGAGTAAAAATGTATATTCAAATAAGGTACCGATATATGGCCATTCCGCTTGAATTCTTGTAATTTCAATTTGTTTTTTCGTTACTTTTAGATATGAAGCCCATTCTTTAGGATCTAGCGAATCTGGTTTGTGATAGTTTTTAATTGATTCAAAATCTTCGTTTAATCTATTTATGTAATTTTCTAATTGAAGTTGGGCGTAGTTTTTTTTTGATTCATTTTTGTTGTCAGATTCATCCATATTTGTGTTAATGCTTAGTTACATGTAATCAAATATTTTGTAAATGTAAGAAATTTTTTTTCATTTAAATAGAAGAGATCGAAAAAGTTTATCATTACGAATTTCATGCATGAAAATGTTTCTTTATTTGTTAATTGATGAAGTCATATTGTTTCTTTATTTGTTAATTGATGGAAATTCTTGCAAACCTATAGATAAGAAGTCATATGTGTCATGCTTTCTTTATTTGTTAATTGATGGATATTGATAAGAAGTCATATTGTTTCTTTATTTGTTAATTGGATTGTTTCTTTACGTATTTGATGAAGGAACCTATCGATAAGAAGTCATATGCGTTATGCATATTTCTTTACGTACATACGTACGTATGTATTTAGGACTTGGCACTTTACGAAATTAACCCAACAAAAATAAAAAACATGAAATAAAAAATGGCTATATGAACCGATCTTATGTACTAAGTAAAAGTGTCGGAAATGCGATTTTACTATATATTTACTAACCTCCTAGCCTATGTCTAACTTTAACCCCTAATATGAATTAAAAATCGGAAAAATAATGATTGTTCCTAGCATCACCCATAAAAAAAATACCGTAAATAATGTTAAATTAAGAGATCATCTAGTATTGATTTGTCCATTATAATTAAGAAACATGTAACACATAAATACTATAGCATTACTTGAATGTGTGCCAGGTTTATGGCGCAGCATAAATTCTTTAAAGTTCGTTCATGTTGGAGTTAAGGTTAGTGTTAGTGTTATGGGCTAGGGAAGGGTAGTTTATATAGTAAAATTGCCCAACGAAAACTTTTGTTAGAATACCCAAAGTGGTTTCTTATGTAGAATTTCGATAAGTAAGCGAAACGAACATTGAATTTTCTTGATCGTGTTATGTTGCACCTGATCTTGAAATCTGATTCGGAATTCAATAAATCTG